CAATTTTGAACATCAACTTTCCTTGAAGCCGTTGTTGGGACCTTCTCCATTCTTCGAGAATGATAAGGCGCATTATCCAACACAATTACTGCGTTTTCCTCTAAGTTCGGTAAAATTTTTGAAAACCACTGTTCAAACGATTCGCCATTCATTTCCTCGTGGTAATCTCCAGTTTTCTTAGACTCAAAGCACCAACAACAAATCCATCCTCACTGCCAATATGGCAGATAATGAGCCTTTTCCCTTTACCTGGAAATCGAAGTACTAGCTGGTGTAGATTTATTTCAATAAGCGAACCTTTTTCAAATGTTTTCATCACATTCAGCGAAAAAACATTGAGATATGAGTATCAGATTGCTATAATTGGGATTATTTAGTCATATTGAAAGAAAGAATATTGAACGTCGTATGATTACTCAGCGCTTCACAATTTAATTTAAAGTTATAAACCTTTAAAAAATGAATGATCAGGAACCTGAAATACGCGCAAATATTAATATTAACAAATTATAACTTTATAAAGCTTAAAGTATGAATTAAAATGATTAGAAATATTAGGAACGGTACACAATATAAAACTTAGTAACTTTTTTTAAGTTTATAATATTCGACATATTTTAAGATTATATTAAAAAATTATTGAAATATCGAAAACACATAAAAACATGGCTTAAAAAAGTTCTAACAAATGAAAATGACAATAAAACATCCACGCATTTTATCGAAAGTTATAAAAGTTTTGTTACTTGTAATATGTTTTATCTGCCCCCTGGAATTAATGTTTAGAACCTTGTTCCCAAGGTTTGAAAAACATTCGATTGTTGTCTATTACTCGTATTTACCTGCTGGATTTTTTAATCCGGTGGACAGTCCATCTAGAAAGGCCCTACTGGATGAAGTTACAGAATCATCAACCCATACTTTACTTGTAGTGTGTCCTGCGTTTACCCACGTTTCATCAAGGTAATAAATCTTCCTGTTTTGATTTCTATATTTCCCAATTTTTGTTAAATAATCCCTCCTCCATAGCACAATTTCTTCTCTATCCAGTAGTAAACTATTACGACCCCGTTTTTTCCATTTGAAATTTAAATGCTTCAGTAACGCATGGAAAGTTGATCGTTTGAAATTTGGCAACGTTGTATCTCCATTTACCTCCTGCAGTACTTTATCTATAGTAGGTATTTCATTCCTAAAGAAGAATTCATGCACTTTCCTCCTAATCGCATACTTATCAGCTTCATCCAATGATTTAACAATACTTTTGCGATGTTTACTGGTCATTGGCTCAGAAAAGGTGTGATTTTTTTTGTATTGTCTTAACACATTAAACACTGATGCGCGACACACCCCAACTTTGTGAGAAACCTTCACAGCAATTTCTTTGATGGTTGATGCCTCGTTCTCCTCGCGCTCGATCTTATATATATTCAAAATGACCTCTTTCATTTCTGCACTCAGGTGTCTTTTTTTAGAGCGTTTTCTAGGTGGACTACAGGAGTTTACAACTTCATCGGCAGTATCTGTACTACTGGGCATTTTGCGCAAGCAGTTGATAACAATAACAATCAATAACAAGGTATAACAATAACAACGACAAACTCAACAACTTAATAAGATAACAAACGAAAACGTCCAAAGAAATATCAAATTGCAATGATGCACACGACATACGTAACACGTCTGAACCTGAATGTGACTCTGCCTTGATACGACTGCTCTGCCGCTCTGCATAGGCATTTAATTGCGAATTGACCAATGAGGGCTCCTGTTTTACGTCGAGACGGCGGCGTTAGCGTAAAAATCACCCGAACCTTTTGTTTACATCCGGTCTATCTCTTATCTGAATATACTGTATACACATTTTAAAACCCAGCGGATGTGTCTATAATCTTTTTTTGCGAATTACTGACAAATACGAAATGTTTGATTTGTTTGGAAGAAAAAACGTAACCCTACATAAAAATAACATTTATCTTCCGAAAAGGTTTGCGATTCGTATCGGCAAGGTAAACTAGTGTATTTTGCTATAAAATGCTTTCGAGCTAGTCCTGTATATTGCTAGTAGTGATGGCCGGAAGACAGGTGTTTTGGGATAAGCAATTAGAAATTCTCAAAAACTACTTGACCGATCTATTCCAATTTTTGTTGTCGTTATTTAGAAGTATGAGTCGTACGAATTTGAAGAATTTCAAGTATCTGCGAGAAACCATCGTCGCATTACCAACAAGTGTCAAAACTTGCAGCTTGCCTCGGTTTTCGGCCATATCTTTTTTGCTATTTGTCGGATCTTTTTCCGTGTGGTCTCATTTTGTAGGTCTCATAAATACCTATAAATCTTATATGAAGAGTTTTTTCGGTCCTGCTATCCTGCATCCCAAAAAACACGTTTTGTCATTTTTTGCTGTAGAATAAAAGGTTTTCCCACAAAAATGGGTCTACCCATTTTATGCGTCCATGTTTTGAATACCCCCTTGAACAACTTGCATCAATAAAAGACTTTACAATTATTTCGCAAATCAGTGGTATTTGGTCTTATATGATTAGACTAATAATGAAGTAGCATCATAAAGTTAAGGGAAATGCTCACAATATTGGACGTCAGCAATAAAACCAGACTTTAAAATTATTTCGCAAACCAGGGGTATTTCCATCTAATATGATTAGACTAGACCTCGAGTGTGCTAACATAGGATTAGGTGGACTATAATATTGGGTGTTCCTTAATGATATGCGAATATTTAAGGGTGTGAATCTACATGAAAAATTCATGTTAGTTTGCTTTATAAACTATGGGCCAAAAATGTTTCCTTACAAAAACTCGGGGTGGTAAAGTTTTAGGAAAAAAATGGAAATTAATATTTTCAGAACCGTTTCAGATATTTCACTGATATTTAGTACATAGTGAAAGTTAATAAAGCTGCATATTTTTCAATGCAAAATAATGTTTAGCTTTAACAGTGGCGTGCGTACGGGTATTGACTTCGACATTTCTTAAGAAAAAAATGGTACGCCAATAGTTTTTTGCCAAATAAAAATTATTTTAAAATTCCCCATTCAATTTAAAGCAAATGATCTATCTTGAATTGTTTTCCTTCGATGTGCCATTTTTGAGTAAAAAAATAAAAACCGTTCTATTGTCCGAGAAAATTAATGCAATAATTGAAGAATGCAATTTAGCAATAAATATCTAGTTGCTCTGGAAGATGTCACTGGCTTTTGACATCTGACAAGTCCCTGTTATTCAAATCTGTTCGCTGTGACATCTTTTTCATTATTTAGTTTTTACAATCTTGTTAATAATGGTGAATTATTCAAATGCAGAAATGGCAGAAATGCATTACGTATATGGCCTTGCCTACGGTAATGGTGAGTAACCCAGACGGATTTATCACCAGAGATATCCCGATCCTGCTTTGCCAGATACTCAAACCAAAGGAACATCTGAAGGTAGACCTCTAAGTGTGAGAATACCTGAAATTGAGGAAGCAGTGCTGCACGAAGTCGAAGAACACCCTGAAACGAGTACGAGGAAGATCGCTAGACACTTATATATTTGCCATCAAATTGTTTGGAGAATTTTAGGGGATTTTTTGATATATCCTTACCATATTTTAAGAGTACAGGCATTACTTCCCATTGATTTTCCAAGGTGTGTGACCTTTTGTCAGTGGTATCTTCAAAAAATTACATAAAATCCGCAATTTGAATCGATGATTCTGTACTGTAAAATACAACATCAGTCTCCGCTTGATGTGATTCAGCTCTAGTATTAACCGCTTAAGTCGTAATGACGTATATATTCGCCAACATATATATTATCCAGGTTGATTATGACGGATATATTCGCCAAGAATATATTACTAAGGCCGTCCATGGCTATCACGAATACGTTCGCATGTCATGCTTCCACCGTACATGTAAGGAATAAAGAACAATTACTTGTGTTTGTGATACCAGCAACACCGAAAGTTATTGTCTGCCGCCATTTGATTTCGGTGTCAGCTAGCAGTCATTATTGCGTGGTTTAGTATACCGGCTGTTTCCTGCTTGTTTGTGTTCAAACGTTAAAAGTACTTTTGATAATGGCTAGTTCTGACGTTGAAATGACTATAGATCATTCCAGTGATGATGAGAGTCAGTGCACTAGTTCTGACGAATCAGATAATGATTCTAATTTCAACGAGGATTTTGAGTGATACCGAAAATGAGCATGCATCTGATCTTGATCCAAGTTTTGAAATGCCCTGGACAGAGAACGGGATTCCAAGGCCAGCGTTCCATTTTACGTCAAACAGTGGTGTGCAAGTAAACAATTTAAAGGATATATTGCAACTTTTTGAATATTTTTTAGATGATGATCTAATAGGTATAATAGTCAGAGAAACAAACAAATATGCATCGCAGTATATTTGTTCGAATCAAGATAAGCTCAAGCCAAATTCCCGAGCTAAAAAATGGTTTGATTCAGATAGAAATTAAGACCCATGTCGGGTTGCTCATATTACAGAGAATCTGTCTTAAGCCTGAGTACTGATGTACGTTTCACGACGAGAGAGCATCGAGACTCCTTTTTTCTCTAAAGTTATTGGTGAGAGACGACTTCATTTGTTGCTAAAGTTTTTACACTTTGTAGATAATTCTACTATAAATCCACATACAAAAAGCCGAAAATTGATCAAAGTTTTACCAGTTTTGGATTTGTTGAAAAAAAGTATATGTCAGCTTATGTACCAGAACAAAACATAGTCATAGATCAGTCCTTGGTAGGATGGAAAGACAGACTTGCTTGGAAACACTACATACCCTCGAAAAGGAAACAATTTGACATGAAAGTTTTTGCCTAATGTGAAAGCAGCAGTGATTACATGTACAACTTTTTAGTTTATACTGTCGCAGATACTGAATACAATGCTTTGTATATAAATGAACCACTTACTTCGAGGGTAGTGCTGACATTGATTCATTATCTTTTAGATAAGGGATACCGCCTGTTTTTAGATAATTATTATACAAGCATAGACCTGTGTGACAAACTAGTAAAAAGAGGGACTGATAGCGTTGGGACAATGAGAATAAATAGAAAAGGAACCACGGGAATTAAAAGTAAAATTACAGAGAGGGGAAACTAGCATGAAAAAAATTGCAGCAAGGAGTGGGGATATTGAAAAGCCATCTTGCGTAATCGATCACAATGCCAGGCATGTGTGGTGTTGATTTATCTGACAATTACCTCCACTTTTATGGAATTGCTCGTACTAGAGTTAAAGAATACTACACGAAGATGTTTCTCCATTTTTTAAGTGTCACTACGTTGAATGTCTTTCAAATTTATAAGAAGAATGGCGGAAAACTAAAAAGACTGAACTTTTTACCGGAGCTGGGTGAGAAGATAGTGGAAAAATACGGCAAACCCTTACAAATAAAAAAAAGGTCTAGAACGCCAATGCCCACAAGACTGACTGAAAGGCATTTTCCATCGATAATACCACCGACAACAAAAGCAAAACCGACTAAAAGGTAAGTCAAAAACTTATCGCTCTACGTTTGTCTTGTTGCGTTTTTCTTTACTTCAGATGCGTTGTATGTGCTGACAGAAAGATGTGAAAAGAGAGCCGTTATTGGTGCCTAGAGTGTCGTACTGGTCTCTGTCCTGCACCTTGTTTTGGGATATACCATACGAAAGAATCATGTTTTCTACCATTTATCGGCTGTATTTTGTTTTTAAATAAATAAGTTTCAAGTAATTTTAAGTGCATTACTTGTTTAAAAACAGAACTAACCATGGTGGCTTTCCCGTATATGTACGCACTTCTTTTGAGCTAACCCAATTCATGTGACTTTGACGAATATGTACGCCTGCGCTTCTATGATAACTGACAAAGACGAATATGTACGCAAGCGATAAAATGATGTGCCACCTGAAAAGTCATCGCTGAAAGCAGCTACAGTCACTTAAGTGGTTAATATTTTCTAGGTCCCAATGTCCCAATTTCGTCTGCACCTCTGTGGGCATGGCCTTCATGCCAAACAAGAATAGTGCTTAATAAAACGTAGTAACACAAAATGCTACACTTCAACTGCTCCGAAAAACATACGGGTGCTAATCTCAAAAACATAATTGTTTTCTACTCAAAGCTAGAACATTCCCCTACGGCGACTGGATTATTACTGAATTGTGTCGGTTTAGACCATTGATTCCCAAAGTGGTCTATATCGACCCCTAGGGGTCTATGACAACCTGCAAGGGGTCTACGTCAGCGAAAAAAAAATTGGGGGTCCATGAAATGAATATGGGGGTCCACGATAGTGGATCTCAACACATACACTGATAGTACCTATTTACTTACATCATACTATCTTATAATATCAAAACATATACATTATTTATAAAAGTACCTATGAAGTAAAAAAATTATTATATATGTTTATAAAATTGTGTAAGTTGTAGGATGTTGGTATTCGCTTTTGGTCGCAATACATTTTGAACTTGTAAAAACCTGAGAGTCGCAGTCTCAGAGCTTCGCTACCTTGCACTGACTTGTTCAATTCGCCACTCTATAAATACGAATGTGGGACAAATACGTTTATTCGTTTCCTGAATCTTGAAAAGGAAAGTGCTAAGAAAATATTTTAAAAAATATAAACAGATAGTATATCACACAAATTATAGTGAGTCAGTGTTATTTTGTTTGAGAGTGCTGGAGAAAAGTGAGTATATTATTTTTTATTAAATTTTAGTTTTGTACTCGTAGTTAGCAAAGATAAATAAATTACGCCAATCATGCCTTTAGTTATTAGTAGTCAAATATTCAATCATGCAAAATTACACGAGTACTCCTCAATAGTTTCTTTTTGAAATTTTCAGCAATCGTTAATATAATTACAGTGCAATCTGCGTAATTCGAGCTAATTGTTGCAAGAAGATGTTCGAATTATGGAATGTTTTCGGAAAAATCAAAAAATATTTTTAATATATAGCTGCTGGATTTTCTGTCTTATTTAAATAATTTAATTTTGCTCACAGATGACTGATGCCATGTCCGAATCTAAAAAGAAATGTAGACAGTACAGTGTTGATTATTTGAAATTTGGCTTTATTCCATCAATGCCGGACAAACAATCGCCTATGTACCTTTTATGCAACAAAGTTTTGGGTAATGACGCTATGAAACCATCTAAATTTCAGAAGAGACCTAACTGGACAGAATGTTAATTTTGCCAGCCGTTGAAGAGGTTTTAAAAACTGTTTTAGACAAACCTGCATCTGATATCATTAAAAGAATTCCCTTAAGAAACAATACTGTTGAAAGACGTATTGATGAAATGAGTTCTGATATTGGAAGCTTCTTATGTAATTATTTGCAAACGACCCATTTCTCTATACAACTGGACGAGTCAACTTTACCTGATAATGCAGCATTATTATTGGCATATGTTCGTTTTATTATGAATCAAGAAATATACGAAGAACTGCTCTTCGCAAGAACTTTGATAACCGACACTAAAGGTGAATCAATATTTCATGTTTTGAAGGATTACTTCATTGAAAAAGCAATTCCTTTATCAAATATAATATCAGTAGCTACAGATGGAGCACCTGCCATGGTTGGACGTTATCGTGGATTTATAAGCTATTTAAAACAAAATGTGTCAGGGGTGTTAGCAATACATTGCGTCATCCATCGACAACATTTAGTTGCTAAAAATTTGAGTGTTAGATTGCATGAATCACTTCATTTAGTCATTGATGCAGTAAACCGAATCCGAAGCAACGCGTTGAATACGCGGTTATTTGCGAAGTTGTGTGAAGAAAATGACGAACACTTTCATCAATTACTCCTTCACACTAAAGTACGCTGGCTGTCGAAAGGCTTATGTTTGACAAGATTTTTTGCACTTTTTGAGACTATTTTAGAATTTCTGGATACTAAAGATGAAATTTTAAAAGAAAATTTAATGAAGAGGTAAACAGACATCGCCTATTTAACAGATTTGTTTACAAAATTTAATATGGTCAATTTACAATTACAAGGCGACAGTTTAAATTTGATTAAAACAAAGTCCATCTTATCAGCGTTTCTTGCCAGAGTTAAACTAATGAAGCAAAATATTCGACGGGGCGAATTTTTTCAGTTCCCCAATTTGTCACAGACAAGCTGCCAGGAAGACGACGTTTCAACTTACGTTCAGATTTTGAACCTAGGTTTGAGGATATTTTGACTATGGTAATACCACCGTGGATAATTAATCCATATGGTGACATAGAAGAAACGAATGTCATAATACAAGAGGAACTGACTGAACTAAGTACAAACGAAGAACTTAAGGTTCAGTTTAAAAACGGATATCAGCAATTCTGGCTGCAAAACAACATACCCGTTACTTATCCCGTATTATGGAATATAGCGAGGAAATTTTTAATTTCCTTTCCATCGTCATACCTAGTGGAAAGGGGGTTCAGCGCTGTTACCAATCTCCTAACGAAAAAAAGAAACAGACTGGACATCATTAGACGAAGAGATTTAAGATTAACCCTTACAAAATTGACGCCAAATGTTGATAATTTATTATTAAAGCATCAGGTTCATCCTTCTCACTAAAAATATTGATTTATTTCTTATATTATTTTATTTATAGTTTATTTTATGTTTATTGGTGTCTGACCAATAAATGTCCGCATTGGGAATAAGTGCCCGCATTGATTTTTTTAAAGCACCCCCCTTTATAGAAAGTATTTTTTTATTTTTAAATTATTCTGAAAATTCAAGGATAGGTACACACTAAAATTCGTTAATTTTTTGCCTATTTTTAGATAACTTAAACGTATAAGAAGCGGAATTTAATCAAACTAACAGTGAAATTATTGTAGAACATACGTTTATGTTATAATTAATAAACGAAATCGCTTATTGTACTATTTGAAGTAAAAAACTTTTTTTTTATTATTTTTCACTTTTTTTCATTTTATCCCTCTTTTTTTCAATGCGGGCACTTATTCCCAATGCGAGCACTTATTGGTCAGACATCTGTTTATTTAATGTTACGCATATTTTACATAACAGATACAAAATTTTATTTTGATTAGTTTTAATTTAAATTCGATTAATCAATGTATAAATTAACATGTGTTTTTACTTTAAGTTTTTAACACCAAACTTCACTCTAGTTAGAAATTTATAGGACATCAATATCAGGTAAGTAGGGGGTCTACCCAACACGGAAAAACATGGCAAGGGGTCTACGACACAAAAAAGTTTGGGGAACTCTGGTTTAGACCTATAAGGGGTACCTAGAATACGTCAATTAAAAAACGACACAAGTCCACCTGTTGGTAGTTTGAGAAAGTAGAGACATGTGACATTTTTCCACATAATAAAGTAGATAATTCTGGATCGTTTGGTATAATAATCTGGATTTTCATCTTTTTCGAGTTGTGACGGTTTTCACAATCTTATATTATGATGAAAGAGTTTCATATGTCAGCGCGAATTCCATTACAATTTAATGAATTCTGTTGCAAAATTGTGGTAACAACAGTTTTAATAAACATGATGTGGGAGACTGATGCCGCAAAGGTGAATAAACTGTGAAATGTAATCAAAACAACAGTTACATCACTTAAAATTGCTTAAATAAAAAATTACGCGATAATGAACATGTTTTAAAAGAATGTATATACTGGAATAACTTATTCTTATCACTACCAGCAATATATCAACGTATTTTTAAATATGGGGTCAAATGTAGTTGGAAGGAATCAACAGCTTCCTAATATTTGGGTTCTCGGCTGGGCTCACAAAAATAATTCCAGACATAATAAGTGCTAACAAGAGAAGCTGATCACATATGGTATTATTTAACTGTTTCAGCACTGTCAACAACTCTGGAACATGCTCATGTGGATCTTTAAATAGTATTTGTTATTTGTAGGTGTAGTCCCGCATTTTCGAAGCTTTTGAAACGGGAAATGAAGATACAAATATCGCAGTATATTTTCAGTAATGAAATAGTTCCATCAATGCAGTCTGGATTCAGGGAAAACCATCGTACCACAACTGCCCTAGCCAATGTCACTGACGATGTTATAAGAAGCATTGATCAAGGAAATATCACTTGTTTAGTTCTGCTGGATTACACAAAAGCTTTTGATATGATAGACCCTGAAATTCTGCTACTTAAGCTGTCTTACTATGGTTTTACTGACGCTGCAGTCAATTTGATAAGCTGCTATTTGTCAAATAGAAATCAAAAGGTCCTAACAGCTTCGAAAATGTCACAGTCAACTGCTATAAAGTTTGGTGTTCCTCAAGGTTCCATATTGGGACCTTTACTTTTCTCTCTATATATATCGGATTTTCATGAATATGTCCATAATTGCACAATCCATCACTATGCCGATGATACTCAAATTTATTTTAGTTTTCAACACAAAGATTTTAAAATAGCAGAAGCACTGCTCAACGAAGACTTAACAAGGCTAGTAGACTTCTCGTGCTCGCATAATCTAAAAATTAATGCATCTAAATCTTCAGTTATGGTTTTCGGCTCAAAAAACAAAAGAACATTGATCGAAACGGAAATTAACCTTAAAATCTATGATTGCCGGCTTCCTATAATGAATGAGTGTAAAAACCTGGGACTCTGGATTGACACAGAACTAAAATACAACAAACACGTAAATTCGTTATGTAGTGCATCATACTGCATTTTGAAGCAGTTTTATCCAGATAGGCAAATAATATCTACTTCAGTAAAGCTGAAACTGTGTGAAACATTAATTATATCAAAGATCAGTTATTGTGACAGTATATATGGCCCCGCTCTATCATATAGTGAACAAAGCTAATTACAGCGTATTCAGAATTCGTGCGTCAGATTTTCTTGGGGAATACGACAGTTTGATCATATTTCTTATAAATTTAAGGAACTTGGTATTCTGCAGATTAAAGGCATACAAAAACTTCACTTATTGACACTCACACATAAGGTCTTAGCTACCAAACAACCAACAATATTTGCATAATAAGTTAAACCGATGTAGTGACAAATCAACTGAATACAAGGAATAGAAATATGTTAGTGATACCCTTACATTCTAAGGCTGTCTACAAAAAATCATTGAGCTACAACGCTATTAAATTATACAATGATCTGCCTGTTACATTCCAAAACTATACATTATTTAATTTTAAAGAGAGGCTTAAACTAAAACGACAAGTCGAGGTCTGATGATGAATACAAAATGCTAGAAATATGGACTATTCTTGTAACTGTTCTGTTCTTTTTTGTTTTGTTAATTATTTAGTAATTATTGAGAATTATGGATACATTTTTATTGGTGGAATGTTTTATTATATATTTTTAGTTCTTTCAAATTTTAAGTTGTAAAACGCTAATCTTAGCAACACTTCGCCTTTTTTGTTCTTTTACTTAGGTACGAAATAAAGCCCATTTATTATTATTATTATTATAAGCTTTGCGGTGTATTGCGTGATGTAATTTTTTGCACCATGCACCAGCGGTAAGAAATCGAGATTGCTTACGTTACGTTCGTATCAGAAACCCAAGCTCCTTGATAGTCTGGATGATTCTGCTGATGACCATTGGCTTTTTCCAATTACGATCCACGATGCCATGTATCTCGCTCATTGATTTAGAATTTCCAAGGGATATGGCATAACGTCTTTGATCGCGGCGACAAGCCGAGATTTTTGTAGCAAAAATCTGTCAAAATGACTTGAAATTTTAACTGAATTTTTATAGAAATATTTTTTTATGCACTATTTTCATCGTTATTTTCTGTGCTATTACAAATAAACATAGCTTCTTGTGTCCTAAAGGTGTAGGCGATACGCTGTGGATATGAAGAAATCGCTAGACACGTTAGTTTTAGGGTGTTTCAGAACTAAGGGATAAAACCTCTAGGGGTTATTCAGTGTAACAGTATAAAACATTTGAGTATAGGGACCCATATCCGGCGCTTGGTTTTATTATCTTTAAAAACGATAACAGAGATTGCTTTTTGTAGCTGCATTCCATATCGCCTTAGTCGTGCTGTCGTATTTGTGAACTTTGCCAGAATTCAACAAAAATTAATTATTGCTAATGGAAAACTTTACCAATCAAGAATTGGCGGATACGCATTTGGCATACGGAGCAACAAGCTGCAATGCACGAGCAGCAGCGCGGTTGTATCAAGAACGTTATCCCGAACGACAGCATCCGGGATACAAAAAGTTTATTGCTATTCATCAGCGGCTCTCCGAGACAGGCATGTTTAAAACCAACATGCATGATACTGGTGTTGCTCGAACCGTAAGAACGGTCGAATTTGAAGAAGAGGTCCTTCAGCGAGTTGCGGACGAACCATCAAGTAACACACGTCACGTTGCTGAGGATATGAATACGAGTAACGCTTCCGTCTGGTGGGTGTTACACGAGTAACAACTTTATCCGTACCACTTCCAGAAAGTTCAAGGATTGACTGCAGCCGATTATCATCATAGAGCTCACTTTTGTCAATGGCTTCTTAATCAAATCGCTGCACTACCAAAGTTTTTACGCTATGTTTTATAGACCGATGAAGCCTCTCACACAAGAGACGGTAATTTTAATAGTAGGAATAGCCACGTTTGGGACAAAGAAAATCCCCATGCAATTTTTCCTAGAAAACATCAGCAACGTTGGTCTGTCAACGTATGGGCAGGCATTGTTGATGATTATTTGATTGGGCCATATATTCTACCGGAACGGTTAAGGGTTACTGGCGTTTCTTGGAGGAAGTTCTTCCAGAACTTCTTGAAAATGTACCATTGAACGTCGACAGCAAATTTGGTTTCAGCATGATGGAGCACCGACTCACATTGCTGTACAAGTACGTGAGTATTTGGCTCAGCGATTTGGGCACCGTTGGATTGCCAGAGGTGGAGCAGTTTCTTGGCCTCCTAGGTCACCCGATTTAACGTCGCTAGATTTTTTCCTGTGCGGACATGTAAAGTCTGGTTTACGAAACTCCAGTAGAAACAGAGCAAGACTTAATTGGACGAATTACAGCAGCATTTGAAATCATTCAAAACGGGTATCAAATTTTTAGTCAAGTCCGCCGAAATCATGTGCGACGTTTAAATCGGTGTATTCAGGTTGTAGGAAGACATTTTGAACAATTGTTGTGATGAAATCATGTACAAAACGCAAAAATTGAATGCATCAAATCCTATTTAGGCAATTGATCGTCTTTCTAAATTTTAACGCGTCTTAGGGTCGTAGTGACACTTTTCCGGATATGGGTCTCTATACTCAAATGTTTTCTACTGTTACTCTGAATAACTCCTGTAACTAATCAGTCTAAGCCAATCAAAACAATGTGAATAACCATATTACACCACTGAAC